GAGAGAGAGAGACAGAGAGTGAAAGCGAGGGGAAGAGAGAGAGAGTTTGTGTCCATGTCTTGTAGTGTATCCCTGACTGTCCTTTAGGGGTCGTAGTAATATCAACTATAAATAACTAAATATCTACATGTACAGTAGGCCTTACAGTAAGCTGCTAAAATGCTGACTAGTTTTCCTTAGAAAAAAAGTGATATGAAACATCTATGTAGTCCGTCAGCCAGGCCATTTTCTTTGCCTAAATGACTGAATGGCAGAATGAATACAAATAATACAAGAGGAAGATTAATGATCCAATCTCTCCGCCTGATTAAAAAAATAAATCCTGATAAGGTTAGGTAAATTGAAAAAATTATATATTCATTTATTCCACAATCAATCATTTAAAAAGACATTCCATTCACAGATACAAAATTATTTCTTGGTAGTCAAGTTTAAAAAGGTGCCATTGGTGGTTGGTTCCTCTGTTGACCCCATCGCAGCCAGGAGGGTCAAGGTCACGGTTTTTGGTGCTCTCGAACGCGCCCACTTTTGCCGTGTTCGCATGCTAGTCGGAACTGGGGATCTCCGAGTTAAAATGAATGCAAGTTATTTGCGTAGAGCTTCCTATTGGTTGATTCTGATACTTCCCCAAGTGGGAAACTCTGGAACATATTTTTATAACGAGTTAGCAAGTCAGAAATTTCGGAGTTTCCTAGGTCCGACTAGCACGTGACTGTGGCATTACACAGTAAGCACAGAGACAGGAAGTAGGTCGAGGTCAGATTAAGGAAAGAGAGATAGAGAATGAGGGAGAGAGAGGGACAATGAGAAAGTTCTGTACATTGTATTGCTATACCTGAGAAGGCACTCTCCATGAGAAGTGTTGTATGTTTTGGTGCGTACCAGAATGTTCCAGAATTTAAAAATAGAATTGTCCCCCAACCCTGGTCATAGGCTCTGACAGTTAATCGGGAGGTTGACCGGAGGTTACATCGAAGGTTGGAGAGAAAGTGCAACGGAAGTCGGGAATCCTTCAGAGTTCTAGAACACAGCGGTCTCCTGAGATAGATATTGCTAGTCTTCTGAACGGTCATACGCTCTGATCAATGACCACAGCTGACCTTAAGTTGACCAAAAAAAAGTTACCTGAAGTTGACCAAAGGTTACCTGAAGTTGACCAAAGGTTACCTTGGCTTAGTGTGCTATTGAACATGTCCAGAGGAAAGTCCTGTGAAATGTGAAAGAAAGTCCAGCGGGATTCCTTTCAGAGTTCTTGGGAAAAGCATGGCATACAATTCTGATTAACTTCTTACAAAGGAATGCTCATCATAACAAAATAACGCACGATTACTAAACGCTAAATTAGTGGGTGGAGGTGTGAAGCAGGTATAGAGAAATAGAGTAGCAGTAATTACATTACTCATGTTCAACAAATAATCATATGAATTAAGTTGCACAGGTTGTGTGGTTGGCATTGTCATACTGTCATGTGGTCTTCTTTCACACATAAGTGTGCACTTGTTCACTCCCTCTTCATGGATTTGAAAGGAAAGGACTGGTATATTTAAACTCCCTCTTCATGGGTTTGAAAGGAAAGGACTGGTATATTGGAAGCCCTGCCACAAAAGGACAAGCTGACATCATGTCAGTGATTCTCTCGTTAACACAGGTGAGAGTGTTTTGACGAGGACAAGGCTGGAGATCACTCTGTCATGCTGATTGTGTTAGAATAACAGACTGGAAGCTTTAAAAGGAGGGTGGTGCTTGAAATCATTGTTATTCGTCTGTTAACCATGGTTACCTGCAAGGAAACATGTGCCGTCATCATTACTTTGCACAAAAACGGCTTCACAGGCAAGGATATTGCTGCTAGTAAGATTACACCTAAATCAACCATTTATCAGATCATCAAGAACTTCAAGGAGAGAGGTTCAATTGTTGTGAAGAAGGCTTCAGGGCGCCCAAGAAAGTCCAGCAAGCGCCAGGACCGTCTCCTAAAGTTGATTCAGCTGTGAGATCGGGGCACCACCAGTGCAGAGCTTGCTCAGGAATGGCAGCAGGCAGGTGTGAGTGTATCTGCACGCACAGTGAGGCGAAGACTTTTGGAGGATGGCCTGGTGTCAAGAAGGGCAGCGAGGAAGCCACTTCTCTTCAGGAAAAACATCAGGGACAGACTGATATTCTGCAAAAGGTACTGGGATTGGACTGCTGAGGACTGGGGTAAAGTCATTTTCTCTGATGAATCCCCTTTCCGATTGTTTGGGGCATCCAGAAAAAGCTTGTCCGGAGATGACAAAGTGAGCGCTACCATCAGTCCTGTGTCTTGCCAACATTAAAGTATCCTGAGACCATTCATGTGTGGGGTTGCTTCTCAGCCAAGGGAGTGGGCTCACTCACAATTTTGCCTAAGAACACAGCCATGAATAAAGAATGGTACCAACACATCCTCCGAGAACAACTTCTCCCAACCATCCAGGAACAGTTTGGTGACGAACAATGCCTTTTCAAGCATGATGGAGCACCTTGCCATAAGGCAAAAGTGATAACTAAGTGGCTCGGGGAACAAAACATCGACATTTTGGGTCCATGGCCAGGAAACTCCCCACACCTTAATCCCATTGAGAACTTGTGGTCAATCCTCAAGAGGAAGGTGGACAATCAAAAACCCACAAATTCTAACAAACTCAAAGCATTGATTATGCAAGAATGGGCTGCCATCAGTCAGGATGTGGCCCAGAAGTTAATTGACAGCATGCCAGGGCGGATTGCAGAGGTCTTGAAAAAGAAGGGTCAACACTGCAAATATTGACTCTTTGCATAAACTTAATGTAATTGTCAATAAAGGCCTTTGACACTTATGGAATGCTTGTAATTATACTTCAGTATACCATAGTAACATCTGACAAAAATATCTACAAACACTGAAGCAGCAAGCTTTGTGAAGACCAATACTTGTGTCATTCTCAAAACTTTTGACCACAACTTTACATGCAGCTTCTCTTCTGTCATAACCTGTAGCACTAAATAAAGTGCTTCTCATATATATATATATATATATATATATATATATATATATATATATATATATATATATATATATATATATATATATATATATATATATATATACACACAGTACCAGTCAAATGTTTGGACATACCTATTTTATATTTGAGATTCTTCAAATAGCCACCCTTTGCCTTGATGACAGCTTTGCACACTCTTGGCATTCTCTCAACCAGCGTCATGAGGTAATCACCTGGAATGCATTTCAATTAACAGGTGTGCCTTGTTAAAAGTTAATTTGTGGAATTTCTTTCCTTCTTAATGCGTTTGAGTCAATCAGTTGTGTTGTGACAAGGTAGGGGGGGTATACAGAAGATAGCCCTATTTGGTAAAAGACCAAGTCCATATTATGGCAAGGACAGCTCAAATAAGCAAAGAGAAACGACAGTCCATCATTACTTTAAGACATGAAGGTCAGTCAATACGGAACATTTCAAGAACTTTTAATGTTTCTTCAAGTGCATTCGCAAAAACCACCAAGCGCTATGACGAAACTGGCTCTCATGAGGACCACCACAGGAATGGAAGACCCAGAGTTACCTCTGCTGCAGAGGATAAGTTCATTAGAGTTAACTGCACCTCAGATTGGAGCCCAAAATAAATGCTTCACAGAGTTCAAGTAACAGACACATCTCAACATCAACTGTTCAGAGGGGACTGTGTGAATCAGGCCTTCATGGTCGAATTGCTGCAAAGAAACCACTACTAAAGGACACCAATAAGAAGAAGAGACCTGCTTGGACCAAGAAACACGAGCAATGGACATTTGACCGGTGGAAATGTGTCCTTTGGTCTGGAGTCCAAATTGGAGATTTTTGGTTCTAACCGCCGTGTCTTTGTGAGACGTGGTGTGAGTGAACGGATGATCTCCGCATGTGTAGTTCCCACCGTAAAGCATGGAGGAGGTGGTGTTATGGTGTGGGGGTGCTTTGCTGGTGACACTGTCTGTGATTTATTTAGAATTCAAGGCACACTTAACCAGCATGGCTACCACAGCATTCTTCACCGATACGCCATCCCCTCTGGTTTGAGCTTAGTGGGACTATCATTTGTTTTTCAACAGGACAATGACCCAACACACCTCCAGGCTGTGTAAGGGCTATTTGACCAAGAAGGAGCGTGATGGAGTGCTGCATCAGATGACCTGGCCTCCACAATCACCCGACCTCAACCCAATTGAGATGGTTTGGGATGAGTCGGACGGCAAAGTGAAGGAAAAGCAGCCAACAAGTGCTCAGCATATGTGGGAACTTCTTCAAGACTGTTGGAAAAGCATTCCAGGTGAAGTTGGTTGAGAGAACGCCAAGAGTGTGCAAAGCTGTCATCAAGGCAAAAGGGTGGCTATTTGAAGAATCTAAAATATAAAATATATTTTGATTTGTTTAAGACTTTTTTGTTTACTACATGATTCCATATGTTTTATTTCATAGTTTTGATGTCTTCACTATTATTCTACAATGTAGAAAATAGTAAAAATAAAGAAAAACCCTTGAATGAGTAGGTGTGTCCAAACGAGATATTTTCTGTGGTTGAAATACTGGTCAGCTTTTATGTAACCGTGTCAATCGCGGGAAAAGATTGCACTTTCCCGAACCCCCGCTTCCATCGTCCTTGCTCAATGCTTTTACATTTGTGGGGAGTAGTAACAGAGTGCACACCTGAGGAAGGTCTTTGCCTGTAGAAGAAAGTCCATAAAGTGATGATGATGATGATGATGATGATGATGATGATGATGATGATAGTGGTGATGAAGGTGTCCAGACTAACACCTGTGTTGGTCACACTGTTCCATGGGCGGGGCATCAGTCACCTGATCACAGCTATATATACCTGGAGGGCTTGACCAATCACCTGAGAGCTCCTCCCCTGTGGGTGTGTCCCTGGAGCAGCTGGCTGAGGGTTCCAAAGGGTTCTGACAGGTATCCGAGGCTAGGCCTTGAGGAGGAGCAGGCCTAGGGAGAGTCCTGGGGTTGTAGTAGTCCTCCTAGCCCAGGGGAGGGAGGGTCTGTGGGGGATATGAGAGCAGACAGAGGGCAGTCTGGAGAGGTGTACTTGGCTAGGACCTGGAGTTGTTCTGGTCTCAGGGCGGCCTCGCTGCAGACCCTCTGACACAGAGCAGACACACTGTGCCAAGTATTCAGCTTCATCTGGTTCAGATGGGTCCTCTCTGATATCAGCTGGTCCTTCTCTGTCCTCTGGGAGACACACACACACAGAGACACCAAGCAGACACATGGAGACACAGAGACACACATGGAGACACAGAGACACACATGGAGACACAGAGACACACATGTAGACACAGAGACACCAAGCAGACACATGGAGACACAGAGACACACAGACACCAAGCAGACACATGGAGACACAGAGACACATGAGACACAGAGACACAACAAGACAGACACATGGAGACACAGAGAACACAGAACAAGCACACATGTAGACACAGAGACACCATGTAGACACATGGAGACACAGAGACACCAAGCAGAAATCACAAACACAAGACACCATGGACACAGAGACACATTACACAGGAGACACATGACACCAGACAGACAGAGAACAACACAGAAGAATTACACAAACGACAGAGCGAGACAGACAGAGACACAAGACAGAGAGACAGACAGACAGACGAGACAGACAGAGAGACAGGACATACAGAAGACAGACAGACAGAAGACAGACATACAGAGAGACAGACAGACAGAGACAGACATAGAGAGAGACAGACAGAGAGAGAGAGACAGACAGAGAGAGACAGTGAGACAGACATAGAGAGAGAGACAGACATAGAGAGACAGACAGACACAGACAGAGAGACAGACCGAGAGAGACAGACAGAGAGACAGACAGATAGAGACACAGACAGAGAGAGAGACAGACAGACAGACAGAGAGACAGACAGACAGAGAGAGAGAGAGACAGACAGAGAGACAGACAGACAGAGAGAGAGACAGACAGACAGAGAGACAGACAGAGAGACAGACAGACAGACAGAGAGACAGACAGAGAGACAGACAGTGTAATGAGTCTCATCCTATTCATAACAATGTTCCAAATCAATAAAAGTACTGTAGATGTTTTCAGAGGGTTTCAGCACCACACACCTGATTCCACTAATCAATAGTTTGATGATGCGTTGATTATTGGAGGCAGCTGTGTAGTGCTAGAGCAAAAACAAATAATGTGCACCCCTTTGGGTCCCCAGGACCAGGATAAAGAAACACCGTCTTAGGAAGTCATTTTAGGAAGTCATTTCCCCCCCTCACCAGTTTGTCTATCTCACACTCCAGGTTGTGTATGCAGTCCAGCTTCCTCTTGCGACAGCGCTGCGCTGCGCTGCGGTTCTTACTCCTGCGTCGGACGTCGTGGACAAAGTCCAGCTGCTCTCTGGTCAGAACCTGGTGCCTCAACATCAGCTGGAAGTCATTCCTGCTCAACCCCACGATACGACCCACAGAGAACGGGAGCTGCACCTTGAAAACATGGGGACAGGATCAGACATTTTACTTTTTAGTAATTTAGCAGACGCTCTTATCCAGAGCAAATTACAGTTAGTGAATTCATGACAACCACAAATCACATACTCCATAAAAAAGTTAAAATCAGCAAAGTCAGTGCTAGTAGGAAAGATAACAGAAATACCGTGCTCTAACAATATGTATATATAGATAGATTTGGCTTTTGTTTTATAAGACAATCCCGAATATACGCATACCTCTCATTCAGCAGCTCTCGTCCCATTCAGTCCTAACCTCTCTGGCTGTAGGGGTACACTCATTGTCCCCCTCACTCTCTGCCCCTCCCTCTGTCCCCACAGAATTCACCCCCAGTCCTCTCCCTCAGCCCAGCCCTGTCCCCAACCCAGCCCAGCTCTCTCTCTCCTTAACCCAGCCCAGCTCTCTCCTTAACCCAGCCCAGCTCTCTCTCTCCTTAACCCAGCCCAGCTCTCTCTCTCCTTAACCCAGCCCAGCTCTCTCCTTAACCCAGCCCAGCTCTCTCCTTAACCCAGCCCAGCTCTCTCCTTAACCCAGCCCAGCTCTCTCCTTAACCCAGCCCAGCTCTCTCTCCAACCCAACCCAGCTCTCTCTCCAACCCAACCCAGCTCTCTCTCCAACCCAGCCCAGCTCTCTCTCCAACCCAGCCCAGCTCTCTCCAACCCAGCCCAGCTCTCTCTCCAACCCAACCCAGCTCTCTCTCCAACCCAGCCCAGATCTCTCTCTCCAACCCAGCCCAGCTCTCTCCTTAACCCAGCCCAGCTCTCTCTCTCCTTAACCCAGCCCAGCTCTCTCCTTAACCCAGCCCAGCTCTCTCCTTAACCCAGCCCAGCTCTCTCCTTAACCCAGCCCAGCTCTCTCTCCAACCCAACCCAGCTCTCTCTCCAACCCAACCCAGCTCTCTTCAACCCAACCCAGCTCTCTCTCCAACCCAACCCAGCCCTCTCTCCAACCCAGCCCAGATCTCTCTCCAACCCAGCTCTCTCTCCAACCCAGCCCAGCTCTCTCCAACCCAGCACAGCTCTCTCCTTAACCCAGCACAGCTCTCTCTCTCCTTAACCCAGCCCAGCTCTCTCCTTAACCCAGCCCAGCTCTCTCTCCAACCCAACCCAGCTCTCTCTCCAACCCAACCCAGCTCTCTCTCCAACCCAACCCAGCTCTCTCTCCAACCCAACCCAGCTCTCTCTCCAACCCCAACCCAGCTCTCTCTCCAAACCCAGCCCAGCTCTCTCTCCAACCCAACCCAGCTATCTCTCCAACACAGCCCAGCTCTCTCTCCAACCCAACCCAGCTCTCTCTCCAACCCAACCCAGCTCTCTCTCCAACCCAGCTCTCTCTCCAACCCAGCCCAGCTCTCTCTCCAACCCAAACCCAGCTCTCTCTCCAACCCAACCCTGCTCTCTCTCCAACCCAACCCAGCTCTCTCTCCAACCCAGCCCAGCTCGCTCCAACCCAACCCAGCCTTCTCTCCAACCCAACCCAGCCTTCTCTCCAACCCAACCCTCCAACCCAGCCCAGCCCTTTCTCCAACCCAGCCCAGCTCTCTCTCCAACCCAGCCCTTTCTCCAACCCAGCCCAGCCCTCTCTCCAACCCAGCCCAGCCCTGTCCCCAAACCAGCTCTCTCTCCAACCCAGCCCAGCTCTCTCTCCAACCCAACCCAGCCCTCTCTCCAACCCAACCCAGCCCACTCTCCAACCCAGCCCAGCCCTCTCTCCAACCAAACCCAGCCCCCTCTCCAACCCAGCCCAGCCCAGCCCTCTCTCCAACCCAGCCCCCTCTCCAACCCAGCCCAGCTCTCTCTCCAACCCAGCCCAGCTCTCTCTCCAACCCAACCCAGCTCTCTCTCCAACCCAACCCAGCTCTCTCTCCAACCCAGCTCTCTCTCCAACCCAGCCCAGCTCTCTCTCCAACCCAGCCCAGCTCTCTCTCCAACCCAACCCAGCTCTCTCTCCAACCCAGCCCAGCTCTCTCCAACCCAACCCAGCCTTCTCTCCAACCCAACCCAGCCTTCTCTCCAACCCAACCCAGCCCTCTCTCCAACCCAGCCCAGCTCTCTCTCCAACCAAGCCCTCTCTCCAACCCAGCCCAGCCCTTTCTCCAACCCAGCCCAGCTCTCTCTCCAACCCAGCCCCCTCTCCAACCCAGCCCAGCTCTCTCTCTCCAACCCAGCCCTCTCTCTCCAACCCCAGCCCAGCCCTCTCTCCAACCCAACCCAGCCCTCTCTCCAACCCAACCCCAGCCCTCTCTCCAACCCAGCCCAGCTCTCTCTCTCCAACCCAGCCCAGCCCTCTCTCCAACCCCAACCCAGCCCTCTCTCCAACCCAGCCCAGCCCTCTCTCCAACCCGACCCACTCTCCAACCCAGCCCAGTTCTCTCTCCAACCCAGCCCAGCTCTCTCTCTCCAACCCAGCCCCCTCTCCAACCCAGCCCAGCCCCCTCTCCAACCCAGCCCAGCCCTCTCTCCAACCCAGCCCAGTTCTCTCTCCAACCCAGCCCAGCCCTCTCTCCAACCCAGCCCAGCCCTCTCTCCAACCCAACCCCAGCTCTCTCTCCAACCCAACCCAGCTCTCTCTCCAACCCAGCTCTCTCTCCAACCCAGCCCAGCTCTCTCTCCAACCCAGCCCAGCTCTCTCTCCAACCCAACCCTGCTCTCTCTCCAACCCAACCCAGCTCTCTCTCCAACCCAGCCCAGCTCTCTCCAACCCAACCCAGCCTTCTCTCCAACCCAACCCAGCCTTCTCTCCAACCCAACCCAGCCCTCTCTCCAACCCAGCCCAGCTCTCTCTCCAACCAAGCCCTCTCTCCAACCCAGCCCAGCCCTTTCTCCAGCCCAGCCCAGCTCTCTCTCCAACCCAGCCCCCTCTCCCCAACCCAGCCCAGCTCTCTCTCCAACCCAGCCCAGCCCTCTCTCCAACCCAACCCAGCCCTCTCTCCAACCCAGCCCAGCTCTCTCTCTCCAACCCAGCCCAGCCCTCTCTCCAACCCAACCCAGCTCTCTCTCCAACCCAACCCAGCTCTCTCTCCAACCCAACCCAGCTCTCTCTCCAACCCAGCTCTCTCTCCAACCCAGCCCAGCTCTCTCTCCAACCCAGCCCAGCTCTCTCTCCAACCCAACCCAGCTCTCTCTCCAACCCAGCCCAGCTCTCTCCAACCCAACCCAGCCTTCTCTCCAACCCAACCCAGCCATCTCTCCAACCCAACCCAGCCCTCTCTCCAACCCAGCCCAGCTCTCTCTCCAACCAAGCCCTCTCTCCAACCCAGCCTAGCCCTTTCTCCAACCCAGCCCAGCTCTCTCTCCAACCCAGCCCCCTCTCCAACCCAGCCCAGCTCTCTCTCTCCAACCCAGCCCTCTCTCTCCAACCCAGCCCAGCCCTCTCTCCAACCCAACCCAGCCCTCTCTCCAACCCAACCCAGCCCTCTCTCCAACCCAGCCCAGCTCTCTCTCTCCAACCCAGCCCAGCCCTCTCTCCAACCCAACCCAGCCCCTCTCTCCAACCCAGCCCAGCCCTCTCTCCAACCCAACCCACTCTCCAACCCAGCCCAGTTCTCTCTCCAACCCAGCCCAGCTCTCTCTCTCCAACCCAGCCCCCTCTCCAACCCAGCCCAGCCCCCTCTCCAACCCAGCCCAGCCCTCTCTCCAACCCAGCCCAGCTCTCTCTCCAACCCAGCCCAGCCCTCTCTCCAACCCAGCCCAGCCCTCTCTCCAACCCAGCCCCAGCCCTCTCTCCAACCCAACCCAGCTCTCTCTCCAACCCAACCCAGCTCTCTCTCCAACCCAGCCCAGCTCTCTCTCCAACCCAGCCCAGCTCTCTCTCCAACCCAACCCTGCTCTCTCTCCAACCCAACCCAGCTCTCTCTCCAACCCAGCCCAGCTCTCTCCAACCCAACCCAGCCTTCTCTCCAACCCAACCCAGCCTTCTCTCCAACCCAGCCCAGCCCTTTCTCCAACCCAGCCCAGCTCTCTCTCCAACCCAGCCCTCTCTCCAACCCCAACCCAGCCCTCTCTCCAACCCAGCCCAGCTCTCTCTCTCCAACCCAGCCCAGCCCTCTCTCCAACCCAACCCAGCCCTCTCTCCAACCCAGCCCAGCCCTCTCTCCAACCCAACCCACTCTCCAACCCAGCCCAGTTCTCTCTCCAACCCAGCCCAGCTCTCTCTCCAACCCAACCCTGCTCTCTCTCCAACCCAGCCCAGCTCTCTCCAACCCAAACAAGGCTTCTCTCCAACCCAAACAAGGCTTCTCTCCAACCCAACCCAGCCTTCTCTCGAACCCAACCCAGCCCTCTCTCCAAACCCAGCCCAGCCCTATCTCCAACCCAGCCGAGCTCTTTCTCCAACCCAGCCCAGCCATCTCTCCAACCCAGCCCAGCCCTCTCTCCAACCCAGCCCAGCCCTGTCCCCAACCCCAGCTCTCCCTCCAACCCAGCCCAGCTCTCTCTCCAACCCAACCCAGCCCTCTCTCCAACCCACCCCAGCCTTCTCTCCAACCCAACCCAGCCTCTCTCCAACCCAGCCCAGCCCTTTCTCCAACCCAGCCCCAGCTTCTCTCCAACCCAGCCCAGCCCTCTCTCCAACCCAACCCAGCCCCTCTCCTCCCAACCAACCCAGCCCTCTCTTCCAACCCAGCACCAGCTCTCTCTCTCCAACCCAGCCCAGCCCTCTCTCCAACCCAACCCAGCCCTCTCTCTCCAACCCAGCCCAGCCCTCTCTCCAACCCAACCCACTCTCCAACCCAGCCCAGTTCTCCTCTCTCCAACCCCAGCCCAGCTCTCTCTCTCCAACCCAGCCCCCTCTCCAACCCAGCCCAGCCCCCTCTCCAACCCAGCCCAGCCCTCTCTCCAACCCAGCCCAGTTCTCCTCCAACCCAGCCCAGCCCTCTCTCCAACCCAGCCCAGCCCTCTCTCCAACCCAGCCCAGCCTCTCTCCAACCCAACCCAGCTCTCTCTCCAACCCAACCCAGCTCTCTCTCCAACCCAGCCCAAGCTCTCTCTCCAACCCAGCCCAGCTCTCTCTCCAACCCAACCCTGCTCTCTCTCCAACCCAACCCAGCTCTCTCTCCAACCCAGCCCAGCTCTCTCCAACCCAACCCAGCCTTCTCTCCAACCCAACCCAGCCTTCTCTCCAACCCAACCCAGCCCTCTCTCCAACCCAGCCCAGCTCTCTCTCCAACCAAGCCCTCTCTCCAACCCAGCCCAGCCCTTTCTCCAACCCAGCCCAGCTCTCTCTCCAACCCAGCCCCCTCTCCCCAACCCAGCCCAGCTTCTCTCCAACCCAGCCCTCTCTCCAACCCAACCCAGCCCTCTCTCCAACCCAGCCCAGCTCTCTCTCTCCAACCCAGCCCAGCCCTCTCTCCAACCCAACCCAGCCCTCTCTCCAACCCAGCCCAGCCCTCTCTCCAACCCAACCCACTCTCCAACCCAGCCCAGTTCTCTCTCCAACCCAGCCCAGCTCTCTCTCCAACCCAACCCTGCTCTCTCTCCAACCCAACCCAGCTCTCTCTCCAACCCAGCCCAGCTCTCTCCAACCCAAACAAGGCTTCTCTCCAACCCAACCCAGCCTTCTCTCGAACCCAACCCAGCCCTCTCTCCAACCCAGCCCAGCCCTTTCTCCAACCCAGCCGAGCTCTTTCTCCAACCCAGCCCAGCCATCTCTCCAACCCAGCCCAGCCCTCTCTCCAACCCAGCCCAGCCCTGTCCCCAACCCAGCTCTCCCTCCAACCCAGCCCAGCTCTCTCTCCAACCCAACCCAGCCCTCTCTCCAACCCAACCCAGCCTTCTCTCCAACCCAACCCAGCCCTCTCTCCAACCCAGCCCAGCCCTTTCTCCAACCCAGCCCAGCTCTCTCTCCAACCCAGCCCCCTCTCCAACCCAGCCCAGCTCTCTCTCTCCAACCAAGCCCAGCTCTCTCTCTCCAACCCAGCCCTCTCTCCAACCCAACCCAGCCCTCTCTCCAACCCAGCCCAGCTCTCTCTCCAACCCAGCCCAGCCCTCTCTCCAACCCAACCCAGCCCTCTCTCCAACCCAGCCAAGCCCTCTCTCCAACCCAACCCAGCCCTCTCTCCAGCCCAGCCCTGTCCCCAGCCCAGTTCTCTCTCCAACCCAGCCCAGCTCTCTCTCTCCAACCCAGCCCCCTCTCCAACCCAGCCCAGCCCCCTCTCCAACCCAGCCCAGCTCTCTCTCCAACCCAGCCCAGCCCTCTCTCCAACCCAGCCCAGCCCTCTCTCCAACCCAGCCCAGCCCCCTCTCCAACCCAGCCCCCTCTCCAACCCAGCCCAGCCCAGCCCTCTCTCCAACCCAGCCCCGCCCCCTCTCCAACCCAGCCCCCTCTCCAACCCAGCCCAGCTCTCTCTCCAACCCAACCCAGCTCTCTCTCCAACCCAACCCAGCTCTCTCTCCAACCCAGCTCTCTCTCCAACCCAACCCAGCTCTCTCTCCAACCCAACCCAGCTCTCTCTCCAAACCCGACCCTGCTCTCTCTCCAACCCAGCTCTCTCTCCAACCCAGCCCAGCCCTCTCCACCCCAACCCAGCCTTCTCTCCAACCCAACCCAGCCTTCTCTCCAACCCAACCCAGCCTTCTCTCCAACCCAGCCCAGCTCTCTCTCCAACCCAGCCCTTTCTCCAACCCAGCCCAGCCCTCTCTCCAACCCAGCCCAGCCCTGTCCCCAACCCAGCTCTCTCTCCAACCCAGCCCAGCTCTCTCTCCAACCCAACCCTCTCTCCAACCCAACCCAGCCTTCTCTCCAACCCAACCCCAGCCCTCTCTCCAACCCAGCCCAGCCCTTTCTCCAACCCAGCCCAGCTCTCTCTCTAACCCAGCCCCCTCTCCAACCCAGCCCAGCTCTCTCTCTCCAACCCAGCCCAGCTCTCTCTCTCCAACCCAGCCCAGCTCTCTCTCTCCAACCCAGCCCAGCCCTCTCTCCAACCCCAACCCAGCCCTCTCTCCAACCCAGCCCAGCTCTCTCTCCAACCCAGCCCAGCCCTCTCTCCAACCCAACCCAGCCCTCTCTCCAACCCAGCCCAGCCCTCTCTCTCTCCAACCCAACCCAGCCCTCTCTCCAACCAGCCCAGTTCTCTCTCCAACCCAGCCCAGCCTCTCTCCCTCAACCCAGCCCAGCTCTCTCTCTCCAACAGCCCAACCCCCTCTCCAACCCAGCCCAGCTCTCTCTCCAACCCAGCCCAGCCCTCTCTCCAACCCAGCCCAGCCCCTCTCCAACCACCCAGCCCCTCTCCAACCCAGCCAGCCCTCTCTCCAACCCAGCCCAGCCTCTCCCCAGCCCCTCTCAAGCCCACGTCCCCTCTACTCACCTCCTACCCAGCCCAGTCTCTCTCCACCCAGCCCCTCTCAACCCGCCCCCTCTCCACCAGCCCAGCCCCCTCTCCAACCCAGCCCAGCTCTCTCTCTACAACCAGCCACCTCTCTCAACCCAGCCAGCCCTCTCTCCAACCCAGCCCAGCTCCTCTCTCCAACCCAGCCAGCCCAGCCCTCTCTCCAACCCAACCCGCCCTCTCTCCAACCCAGCCCAGCCTCTCTCTCCAACCCAGCCCAGCCTTCTCCCAACCCAGCCCAGCTCTCTCTCCAACCCACCAGCTCTCTCTCTCCAACCCGCCCCCTCTCCAACCCAGCACAGCCCCCTCTCCACCAACCCAGCCCTCTCCACCAGCCCTCTCTCCAACACCCAGCCCTCTCTCTCCAAACCAGCCCAGCCCTTCTCTCCAACCCACCCGCCTCTCTCCAACCCAGCCCAGCCCTGTCCCCCAACCCAGCTCTCTCTCCAACCCAACCCAGCCCTCTCTCCAACCCACCAGCCTCTCTCCAACCCACCCAGCCTCTCTCTCCAACCCACCCAGCCCTTCTCTCCAACCCACCACCTCTCTCCAACCCAGCACCTCTCCACCCACCCGCTCTCTCAACTCCAATCCACCAGCTCTCTCTCTCCAACCCACCCAGCTCCTCTCTCCAACCCAGCCCAGCTCTCTCCAACCCAACCCAGCTCTCTCTCTCCAACCCACCCAGCCTCTCTCCAACCCAACTCCTAGCCTCTCTCCAACCCAGCCCAGCCTCTCTCCAACCCACCAGCCCTCTCTCCAACCCAGCCCAGCTTCTCTCTCAACCCAGCCCAGCTCTCTCCAACCCAAGCCCCTCTCTCCAACCCACCAGCCCTCTCTCCAACCCAGCCCAGCCCTCTCCAACCCAGCCCAGCTCTCTTCCCAACCCAGCCCTCTCTCCAACCCGCCCAGCCCTCTCTCCAACCCAGCCCAGCTCTCTCTCACCAACCCAGCCTCCTCTCCAACCCAGCCCAGCCTTCTCCAACCCAGCCCGCCTCTCCAACACCCACCCCTCTCTCAACCCAGCCCAGCTCTCTCTTCCAACCCAAGCCCTGCTCCTCTCAACCCCAGCCAGCTCCTCTCCCAACCCAACCCAGCCCCTCTCCAACCACCCAGCTCTCTCCAACCATCTCTTCCCAACCCAGCCCAGCTCTTCTCCAACCCACCCAGTCTCCACCAACCCCTCACCACCAGCCTCTCTCCAACCCACCCGCTCTTCAGACCACGCTCCTCTCCAACCCAACCCAGCCTCTCTCCAACCGCCACCCTTTCTCCAACACCCAGCCTCCAAGCTCTCTCTCCAACCCAGCCCTTTCTCCAACCCAGCCCCAGGACTCTCTCCAACCCAGCCCAGCCCTGTCCCCAACCCAGCTTCTCTCCAACCCAGCCCCAGCTCTCTCTCCAACCAACCCAGCCCTCTCTCCAACCCAACCCAGCCTTCTCTCCAACCCAACCCCAGCCCTCTCTCCAACCCAACCCAGCCTCTTTTCCCAACCCAACCCAGCCCTCTCTCCCAACCCAGCACAGCCCTTCTCCAACCCAGCCCAGCCCCCCTCTCCCAACCCAGCCCAGCTCTCTCTCTCCAACCCCAGCCAGCTCTCTCTCTTCCAACACAGCCCAGCTCTCTCTCTCCAACCCAGCCCAGCCCTCTCTCCAACCCAACCCAGCCCTCTCTCCAACCCAGCCCAGCTCTCTCTCTCCAACCCAGCCCTCTCTCCAACCCCAACCCAGCCCTCTCTCCAACCAGCCAGCCCTCTCTCTCTCTCCAACCCAACCCAGCCCTCTCTCAACCCAGCCCAGCCCTCTCCAACCCAGCCCAGCCCTCTCTCCAACCCAGCCCAGTCTCTCTCCAACCCAGCCCAGCTCTCTCTCTCCAACCCAGCCCCCTCTCCAACCCTGCCCAGCCCCCTCTCCAACCCAGCCCAGCCCTCTCTCCAACCCAGCCCAGCCCTCTCTCCAACCCAGCCCAGCCCCCTCTCCAACCCAGCCCAGCCCTCTCTCCAACCCAGCCCAGCCCTCTCTCCAACCCATCCCCCTCTCCAACCCAGCCCAGCCCTCTCCCCAGCCCTCTCTCTATAGAACAGGACTCACGGTCTCCCTCTAGTAACTCACCTCCTTGACCCAGCCCAGCCCTCTCTCCAACCCAGCCCCCTCTCCAACCCAGCCCAGCCCTCTCCCCAGCCCTCTCTCTAGCCCTCTCTCTATAGAACAGGACTCACGGTCTCCCTCTAGTAACTCACCTCCTTGACCCAGCCCAGCCCTCTCTCCAACCCAGCCCCCTCTCCAACCCAGCCCAGCCCTCTCCCCAGCCCTCTCTCTATAGAACAGGACTCACCTCCTTGACCCTCTGGCTGTAGGAACAGGACTCACTGTCTCCCTCCGTGTCGAAGCAGTCTGAGTCTCCATCGTCTCCAGAGGTCATGGAGGACACACAGGGACTCTTCTCTGACTGGGATGACCCCTCACACCCCAGCCCAGTCCCCCTCTTTGTCCCCCTGTCCGTCCCCTTCCCTGTCCCTCTGTCCGTCCCTCTTTTTGTCCCCCTGTCCAGGCCGTGGAGGAAGGGACAGTCCCCAGTACTGGAGCTGATGTCCAGCTGGTTGAGTCTGTCCAAGGGGGGGCTGCTGCTCCGGAGGTTCCCAGGCTCAGTCCCAGGGAGGAAGTCCTGGAGGAGGGGAGGAGGAGGAGGAGAGGAGAGCTCTGACCAGAGGCCATGGGCCAAGTGTTCAGCCACCTCTCTTTCCACACTGCTCCTCTCTTCCCGTCCTCGCTCTCTCCTCTCTCCCTCTCCGCATTCGCTACCTCCATGTTCTCTCCCTCTCTCCACCTTTCTCCTCGCTCTCCCTCCCTGCTCCTGTTCTGTCTGTGGCTGGCTGGAGATAGCTGGATTTATCCCTTCATGGTGACCTCTACTCCCTAGAACACAAACCCCTCCCCCCACAACTCCAGGGCTATGCTTGCCCAGCCCAGGTACCTCCAGGGGGCATCGGTGTGGTGGTGTACCCGCTGTCCCGTCACCCGACCCTGGGCTCTCTTCACAGTTGACGGGCCTACCTCTGGACACCTCCATGAGAGGAAGAAGGGAGCTAAGCCAGTCGACTCCAGAAGCCCTCTCCCCCTCTCCTATCGTCTCATACACCTCTAGGTTCTCTTCATCTGCCTCGCTACTTCTCTCATCCCACTTCCCCTCATCACCCTCTTCTCCTATCTTCTCCTCCACCTCTCCTTCCTGGTCAGTCTGTGAGAGAAGTGAGGAGTTTTTTTCTCCAGAAGTTTCCACGGCAGAACCCTCCCTAAAGCCGCCACCACTGGAGCAGGGTGGACAGGACTGGGGAAAGTGTAGAGGGTAGCCCTCCTCCGTCACCACTGAGGAATCAGGGTTTGTTTCTGGGACACAGACCTCCAGACACAACCTCACCTTCCCACAAGCCTGCTGGAATTTACGGTACTTGGGCCACTGCAGGGAGTAGTCAGTCTGGCCATCTGATTGGATATTGGCTTCAGGAGGATGGGCGGGATTTTTGCTTTCGCTTCCCGTCTCGTCATTTGCCGGTTGGCCACCCACATCCTGTTCAACGGGCGAATCAGAAACCACCTTCTTGACCCCTTTGTCATCATCTAAGACATCCTTGTTAGTGTCTATGTCACTAAGCTCTGCCCTGGGGGACTGTGTCCTGCACCGTGTCTTACAGCAGGTCTTCCTCTGGAAGGAGGACGTGCTGCTGCTGAAGAACTTGGGCAACAGGAAGTCAAAACAGGCTGAGTCCAGATCCCTAAAACCCAGAACAGAGGCACAGTGTCGTATCTCCATGACATTAGCTTTATCGAAGAGCAGCTTGGATGTGTAGGCAAACTGCAGCAGAGGCTCAAAGCCACTCACCGTCACCTTAGAGAAGGACAGAGAAACAGACAAAAGGACAGGATGGTTATGACACAGCAGTCCAGCCTATATTTCACCACACTCAACACTACTGTTGACTCAGTATATATCATTCCTATCTGACGGAGTTCATCTCATCTCTTAGACAAACTATACTCACGTGATGAAAGAACATTCAGCAGCCTGCCAACCACTCAGCTGCCTGCCAGTAGCCTGCCAACCACTCAGCTGCCTGCCAGTAGCCTGCCAACCACTCAGCTGCCTGCCAGTAGCCTGCCAACCACTCAGCTGCCTGCCAGTAGCCTGCCAACCACTCAGCTGCCTGCCAGTAGGCTGCCAACCACTCAGCTGCATGCCAGTAGCCTGCCAACTACTCAGTAGCCTGCCAACCACTCAGTAGCCTGCCAACCACTCAGTAGCCTGCCAGTAGCCTGCCAACCACTCAGCTGCCTGCCAGTAGCCTGCCAACCACTCAGCTGCCTGCCAGTAGCCTGCCAACCACTCAGCTGCCTGCCAGTAGGCTGCCAACCACTCAGCTGCCTGCCAGTAGCCTGCCAACCACTCAGCTGCCTGCCAGTTGCCTGCCAACTACTTTAATGATTTTTTTCAATGGCAAGATTAGCAAACTTAGGCATGACATGCCAGCAACAAACGTAGACACTACACATCCAAGTATAACTGACCAAATTATGAAAGACAAGCGTTGTAATTTTGAATTCCGTAAAGTAAGTGAAAAAGAGGTGAAAAAGTATTGTTGTCTATCAACATTGACAAGCCACCTGGGTCTGACAACCTGGATGGAAAATTACTGAGGATGATAACAGACTATATTGGCGATCCTATTCGCCATCTCTTCAATCTAAGCCTACAGGACAGTGTGTGTCCTTAAGCCTGGAGGGAAGCTAAAGTCATTCCGCTACCCAAGAATAGCGAAGCAACCTTTACTGGTTCAAACGGCCAACCAATCAGCCTGTTACCAACCTTTAGTAAACTTTTGGAATAAATGGTGTTTGACCGGATACAATGCTATTTCACAGTAAACAAATTAAACAACAGACTTTCAGCACGCTTATAGGGAAGGACACTTAACATGTACGGCACTTACACAGATGACTGATGACTTCAGTGCAGCTTTTGACATTATCAATCATTATCGCTCATAGTCTACTGGAAAAACTTGTGTTATGGCTTTACATCGCCTGCTATATTGTGGATCGATAGTTACCTATCCAAAAGAACACAGAGGGTGTTCTTTAATGGAAGCCTCTCCAACATAATCCAGGTAGAGTCAGGAATTCCCCAGGGCAGCTGTCTAGGCCCCTTACTTTTTTCAATCTTTACTAATGACCTGCCACTGGCTTTGAGTAAAGCCAGAATGTCTATGTATGAAGATGTCTCAACACTATACACATCAGCTACTACAGCGACTGAAATGACTGCAACACTTAACAAAGAGCTGAAGTCAGTTTCAGAATGGGTGACAAGAAATAAGTTAGTCATAAATATTTCCAAAACTAAAAGCACTGTATTTGGGACAAATCATTCACTAAACCCTAAACCTCAACTAAATCTTATAATGAATAATGTGGAAATTGAGCAAGTTGAGGAGACTAAACTGCTTGGAGTAACCCTGGATTGTAGACTGTCATGGTCAAAACATATTGAAACAGATACAAAAACACCTTATGGAACAGCGGGGACTGTGAAGCAACACAAACATAGGCACAGACACATGCACACACACACACAATAACATACACACTATACACACACATACACATGGATTTTGTGTTATAGATATGTGGTAGTAGAGTAGGGGCCTGAGGGCACACACTTAGTGTGTTGTGAAATCTGTAATTAATATATTGTAATGTTTGTAAAATGTTATATAACTGCCTTAATGTTGCTGGACCCCAGGAAGAGTAGCTGCTGCCTTGGCAGAAACTAATGGGGATCCGTAATAAATACAAATACTAATACTTGTGTTAAATAGGCATTAGCTCAGTGGGCTAACACCTAAACCAGTCAAATTCAGATCTGGAAGCCAGTTCCACTGTTGATTTTTCATTATTTCCCTTTAAATCAGGGACTGATTTAGACCTGGGACACAATTAATTATCAGGTAGAGCAGAAACCAGCAGTGCTCCGGACCTCGTAGAGTAAGATTTGAATCGTCCTGGCCTATGTGGACTAATGTGGTCCTGGACTGTAGCTTCCTTCCTAAGTCCTAGGCTTTTGGTCCCTTCTCACCTCCTGAGGCAGGGTGATGACAAGTCCCTGTGGCGCGTGGGAGGAGACCCTGTGGGTGAAATAGTCGCTGCAGGAGGCCAGCACAGAACGGTGGGCCCTGAAACTCCTCCCCTCGGCCACCACAGTGATGTCACACAGCAGGTCACGCCTCCGCTGGTCGTCCAGGCAACGCAGCACGTGGCAGCTGTGCACTGAGGACTCAAAGGTAAACACAGAGGACCGTGGGCTCTCCAGACTAGACATGGCGACGGACATCTGTGGAAGATACACACAAAAACATACACACACACACACACACACACACAGAGACAGAGACAGAGACAGAGACAGAGACAGAGACAGAGACAGACAGACAGAGAGAAAAGATTATGACAATCTTATACTACTGCCTTAAAATCAAATCAAATCAAATTTTATTGGTCACATGCGCCGAATACAACAGGTGCAGACATTACAGTGAAATGCTTACTTACAGCCCTTAACCAACAGTGCATTTATTTTAAACAAAAAAAGTAAGAATAAAACAACAACAAAAAAAGTGTTGAGAAAAAAAGAGCAGAAGTAAAATAAAGTGACAGTAGGGAGGCTATATATACAGTAAAATAAAGTGACAGTAGGGAGGCTATATATACAGGGGGGTACCGTTGCAGTGGTGTCAGTCAAACAGCTGTAGCCCAACCTATTATTGAGCAACACAAGTGAGATAAAAATGACCTCCAAGGAGTTTTACGACGTCTGCAGTACATGCTGCTTCCAAGCTAATATCCTGCAATTCTACACATTTTTCCCCATGAGGCAGAGAAAATGTTGCAGTTTAAAAGCTTAAAATTACAATGTATTTATGTAAAAAAAGTAGTAAGTGCTGTTATTGTGAAGTGGAAACGTCAAGGAGCAACAACGGCTCAGCCACGAAGTGGTAGGCCACACAAGCTCACAGAACGGGACCGCCGAGTTCTGAAGTGCGTAGCGTGTAAAAATCGTCTGTCCTCGGTTGCAACACTCACTACCGAGTTCCAAACTGCCTCTGGAAGCAACGTCAGCACAATAAGTTTTCATCAGGAGCTTCATGAAATGGGTTTCCATGGCAGAGCAGCCGCACACAAGCCTAGGATCACCATGCGCAATGCCAAGTGTTGGTTGGAGTGGTGTAAAGCTCGCCGCCATCGGACTCTGGAAACGCGTTGACGACATCTCAATGTCATTATTCAGCATCTCTCTCTCTCTCTCTCTCTCTCTCCTCCTCTCTCTCTCTCTCTCTCTCTCCCCCTCTCTCTCCCCCCCTCTCTCTCCCCCTCTCTCTCCCCCTCCCGTGACTATGGTTTTCTGGCCCATTTTTAAGGATTTTTGTTTTTTGTCTACACCCAAACCTTCACTCCTCCAGCTGGACATGAATACAGATTATTGCAAATCATTTGTTGATTCCCTCTAATCATTATTATTGTATGAGGTATTTTTGGTTGGGTTACCCTGTGCTATGACTAGTGGTTATATGTGTGTTAGCCAGTGGAGAGACAGGTTATCTGGCTACACTCTAGTCTCCAATGGCTATCTGGCCAACAGGCTGCATTCTAGTCTCCACTGGCTATCTGGCCAACAGGCTACATTCTAGTCTCCACTGGCTATCTGGCCAACAGGCTGCATTCTAGTCTCCACTGGCTATCTGGCCAACAGGCTACACACTAGTCTCCACTGGCTATCTGGCTACACTCTAGTCTCCAATGGCTATCTGGCCAACAGGCTACACTCTAGTCTCCAATGGCTATCTGGCCAACAGGCTACACTCTAGTCTCCACTGGCTATCTGGCCAACAGGCTACATTCGAGTCTCCACTGGCTATCTGGCCAACAGGCTACATTCGAGTCTCCACTGGCTATCTGGCCAACAGGCTACATTCTAGTCTCCACTGGCTATCTGGCCAACAGGCTACATTCTAGTCTCCACTGGCTATCTGGCCAACAGGCTACACACTAGTCTCCACTGGCTATCTGGCCAACAGGCTACACTCTAGTCTCCACTGGCTATCTGGCCAACAGGCTACACACTAGTCTCCACTGGTTATCTGGCCAACAGGCTACACTCTAGTCTCCACTGGCTATCTGGCCAACAGGGTACACTCTAGTCTCCACTGGCTATCTGGCCAACAGGGTACACTCTAGTCTCCACTGGCTATCTGGCCAACAGGGTACACTCTAGTCTCCACTGGCTATCTGGTAAACAGGCTACACTCTAGTCTCCACTGGCTATCTGGCCAACAGGCTACACTCTAGTCTCCACTGGCTATCTGGTAAACAGGCTACATTCTAGTCTCCACTGGCTATCAGGCCAACAGGCTACACTCTAGTCTCCACTGGCTATCAGGCCAACAGGCTACATTCTAGTCTCCACTGGCTATCTGGCCAACAGGCTACACTCTAGTCTCCACTGGCTATCTGGTAAACAGGCTACATTCTAGTCTCCACTGGCTATCAGGCCAACAGGCTACACTCTAGTCTCCACTGGCTATCTGGCCAACAGGCTACACTGTAGTCAGTCTGTTCTGCTGATGTGTGTCTGTTAGTGGTACTCACTCCATCTTCTTCTTCTATCGGCAGGGTAATACCTGCCTGGCGACCCAACAACAATCTTTATCTTTACCAACTCTAACAATACCACTACAACGGAATTACGCTTTTGACTCAGATTTGTCCATTTAAAAATGTACGCCAGACAAAAAACCATTGATTTCAAAGTTTAACAAACCAACTCTATGCACTCTATGGACTACTTTTGAACAATTTACACAGAACATTTCACAAAAACACATTTAAAATGGCAATGCAGATGCAAAGTTTGATAACAGAATTACGGTAAAATCTCCCTACGTTTTTAATGCGACCACGTCTTTTCAAGAAACTGTTAAATATCTGCTACGAATTAAGATTCAAAAGACGTCTGCAGAAAGTATGGGGGTGTCAGCTATGATATGAGACCTTCAGTTAAAAATATATATTTTGGTTATTGAACTACAGTAGGTGAAGTGGATTTTCATACGGTAACGGAATTACATGGGAGCTTCAATCTATAGCTAGACGACTCCTGATATCTCCAGGAGTGATATGCATCATTTGTCTTAATCTGTTATTGTCTAGTGCTGTCTTGTTGCTAACTAGGGCCATCTACTTTAAGTGCTTCCTGTCTTCCCAGTAGCCTACTTGGTGTGTGAACTGCTGACTGCTCATAACTTGCAGATGATTGTTGACACATCAACCAGGATTAAGGGGCAGGGCAATTTGTGACTTGTTTTGGTAATCAGTGTCTATATTGGGAGTGGGAGTGGGAGTGGTTTCACCTCTCCTAGGCGATCAGCAATTAGTACAGGGAGGCGTGCTCTTCACCTCTCCTAGGCGATCAGCAATTAGTACAGGGAGGCGTGCTCTCCACCTCTGCTAGGCAATTAGCAATTAGTACAGGGAGGCGTGCTCTCCACCTCTGCTAGGCAATTAGCAATTAGTACAGGGAGGTGTGCTCTCCAACTCTGCTAGGCAATTAGCAATTAGTACAGGGAGGCGTGCTCTCCAACTCTGCTAGGCAATTAGCAATTAGTACAGGGAGGCGTGCTCTCCAACTCTGCTAGGCGATCAGCAATTAGTACAGGGAGGCGTGCTCTCCACCTCTGCTAGGCAATTAGCAATTAGTACAGGGAGGCGTGCTCTCCACCTCTGCTAGGCAATTAGCAATTAGTACAGGGAGGCGTGCTCTCCAACTCTGCTAGGCAATTAGCAATTAGTACAGGGAGGCGTGCTCTCCACCTCTGCTAGGCAATTAGCAATTAGTACAGGGAGGCGTGCTCTCCACCTCTGCTAGGCAATTAGCAATTAGTACAGGGAGGCGTGCTCTTCACCTCTGCTAGGCAATTAGCAATTAGTATTAGTACTTCAGTATCCCCTGGTTTCTCAGCGGCGGCCGTGTCAGCCATTTTGATTTTGATGACCCCATTTTGCTCTTTTTTTTTTTTTTTTTTTTAGCTTGTCAGCCTCGTCGACAAAATTATGCTGAATTGTTCTGCGGAGAGATTGGAGGAAGTAAATAAAGGAAGCCTCTGACTTGAGTATCTTCCCTAGTTATTTTCTGATGACCCCATTTTGCTCTTTTGTAGCTTTGTCAACTGTGTGTGTGTGTGTGTGTTTTCTGTACCTGTTCTCTCTCCTCTCCCAGTAGGCTTTACAGACGCTCCCCACCCCTTGGCTGCAACCCTTCTAACTTAGTGTACCCTCCACGCACAACCCCATGTGGAATTCCTGGTCTCCGGCAGCGTTTGGAACTGCCGATCAAGAATGCGGTCAAGTTCATCTCCAACCAACGCTGCCTTTCAGTCCCTAGACTTTTTGGCGGCCCTGATGGATCACCCCAGAGAACACTGCTACTCCAGCTGTTCTTTGTTCATCCGCCTACGTGTTCTCTCTTAGTCGGAGTATCTGGTCGTCTCGGTGGTGGCACAGGGCTACTCATTTCTCCTAAGTGGAGAGTTTCTCTTCTATCCCTCACCCAACTGTCCATCTCGTCATTTGAATTCCATGCTGTCACTTGTCCACTCAAGCTTAACATTGTCTATCACCCACCAGGTGCCCTTAAAGTTCCTCAATGAGCTTGACACCTTGATAAGCACATTTCCTGACAATGTACTTTGCGACTTCAACCTCCCGACATCTGATTTCAATTAATTTCTTTCCACCTCTTTCTTTCCCCTCGTCTCTTGACCTCACCCTTTCCCAGTCCCCTCCCACTCACAAGGCAGGCAATAGGCATGACCTAATCTTTACTAGATGGCTGTTCGCCTACTAATCTCACTGCAATCCCCCTCTGTCACTGATCGCTACTTTGTTTCCATTTGTCTCCCTCTTCTCCAACCCTAGCCACTCAGCCCCTACCCAGATAGTCATGCGCCGTCGCAATCTTTGCTCTCTCTCTCCCCCACTACTCTCTCCCCTTCTATCATCCCTCTCTTCTGCTAAATCCTTCTCCATCGTGTCTCCTGATTCGACCTCTGACTCTCCTCTTTCTGCATCTATGACACGCACTGTTCCCTTTCCTCCTGGCCGGCTCAGCCCTCCCCTTGTGCTGAGTGACTCATTGAAGAGCTAACAGAAAAGGGCTGCGGGCAGCAGAGCGAAACTTCCGTAGGAACTATCATACTTTCACTCCCTCTCTACCGTCTCTTCCTCTCTACCTTCTCTTCCTCTATCTGCTGCTAAAGCCACTTTCTATCACTCTAAATGTAA